TATAGTCACCCATGAGGGCTTTGGGGGGCTTTGCAAAGTGCTTGCTTGCCAAAGGCCGCACAGGACAAGTGTTCAGCAAATGCTAAAACGCTGTCAGAAGTGGCTTCAGAAACTAAGCCGACGAGTCTTCTACCCAGGTTGTATAGACCCTGTAGTTCTGTTCCCTTCTGCTGCAGAAAAACCCTCAATAGGAGGAGGATGAGAGGAGTGTGTTCCTCGACAGCAAGGGTGCTTTGTTCCTGAGAGCTTTAGCATGGAAAGATGAAGCCAGCAAGGTGATTTGATCCAAGGCCAAAACCTTGAAGGTTATGGAAAGGGCGAGCAGGACTAGTTCATCGAATCCAAGATGACCAGGTCCCAGGGTAGCTCTTGAAGTCTGAAGGAAGGATTTGAGGGTTATATGAAAAGGAAGGACTTGATCCCACCCGAGTCATAAAACGAAGCAGCTCAGCTTCTTAGGACTTGGTGCAAGCAGAATTTGCTCAAGGGAGGAGATGGAGAACAGGGGCCAGCTCGAGAAACATGACCGCATGGGTGGCCATAAGTGAGCAATGGCTTAAGAGCCAACAGCTCCACCTATTGGCCAAAATCCCTAGGACCAGTACTGGACCTTGAGTTCATTCACAGTAGCCATTCCGCTTGGCCCAAGAGGGAAAAATCTAAATCCACACCAGTGTCATGCAAATAAGAAACTTGAATTGCTCCCAGAGCAAGAATAAAGCCTTGGTATAGCTAGAGAAGCCAAGGATGACCTGCCAGGGGCAACATATGACTTGGGGGTGATACCCCTGAAAAGTCTAGCAGCCTCCAAAGTTCATTAACTAAAGGGAACTTGAGTAAAAATAGTATGGCTAGTTGGGCATGGATCACATGCCTGTAATTGTAGCATTGTGGAAGACTGAGGCAGGAAGATCCTCAGTTCAAATTCAGCCTGGACAACTTAGTGACTTAGCATAAACCTTTTTCAAAGTAAAAAAAAAAAAAAATTGAAAAGCTAAGGATAAATAGTTCAGTGAGAAGCCTTGGATTCAATCTCCAGTATGAGATTAATTTGATAATATGGGATAACTAAATACGTGGCAGTCAACCAACGCAGCCTCAGTCCTCAGCACTCATAAACAGTCACATTCATCCCAGACCACTACACCCAGCTCATCCTGGGTTGGAATCTGAGACTGGAACCAGGGTTCTCCTACATCAACACTCTTAGAAAAGGTTCTGATTCACCCATCTTGGGTCACCAGGTCAGTCCAGCATAAGCGACATTCGAGCCTTTACTGAAGACTTGAGATTTCCAGTGACTTCGATCTTACTGAAGAACCTGCTATCTCTGTCTTGCCTTGACTTTAAGCCCAAGAGGATAACCTGCTCGGACCCGGATGTTCTGTGCACGCAGGGTTGAAGGAGAGAATGTAGAGGTGCTCCTACACGTGAGCCAACTGGGCAAGCTCACTGAACATGCTCGTTCTCATGCTGTAGCTCAGTGGTTAGCACCCCTGGCTTTGAGCCCCAGCACTGCAGGGGCACTCCTGCTTGAGCTGTTTCCCTAAAGATGGAGATGCACCTGCTTGGGGTAGGGTGCAGCGTGAGCATTAGTTTTACTGCCCATACACACAGTGGACTCCCAAAAGAAGAAACGTCTGATCTGGAGGCCTTGGCCCAGGTGGCGCTCCCCGCCACAGACTCTCCTTTTCCAGCTACTCCTCTCCCTACTCCAGCTTCCGCAGACCCTGCCCACCCTGCCTCATCTTCTCCTGCCACACACCACGCTGGGAGGACTCCCCTGCCACCACCCCCCCAGTCGAGCTGGAGGCCCTGGTGCCCAGTCTCTGTGTCCATCCTGCCTGCCTATTATGCTTTCCTTGAAGGAATCTGTCCTGCCCGACAGTAAGCATAGGGAAGATTTTTCATACCATCATTGCGCTGAATGTACACAGCATGCTGGTTGTGGGGCTCTGCATTCATCAGCCATGCTAACCTCCACAGCCTCAGTTTCCCCACTGCACACTGAGAGTGATCACTCAACTGACTACGCTGTCTAGAACTATGAACTGTCCCCTCACCTAAGAGCTCTTTAGCACATCAGCCATTACGCCTCAAGAGAAATCCTTCAAGACACCTCAGAAGAGGCAGCACCTTTTTTATAAAAGTTCTTCATTCTCACATCTCTTTTCCCAATCACCCTTTCTCTGTTCTGATTCTACCAGCAGTTCACACACAGGAGCTGTCAGCGTTCCCTTGCTATCCTGACAGAGCTGGTGTGGCGAACTTAAAAGAGGAAAAGTTTATCTCTGCTAACAGTTTTTGAGGTTCCAGGGCAAGGTCAGGTAGATTGGGGGCTTTGGGTTCTAGCGGACATGCAGGATGACAATGGCAGGAAGCATGGGGCAAAGGTAAGTGCTCACCCAGGCCAGGAAGAGAAAGAGAAATGGAAAAAGACTAGGCTCCCACAGTCCCTTTCACGGCCACGCCCACTATACCCTAAGGAGGGTCCATAAGCCCCACCTCTTAAAAGACCTGCCTCCCAGGAGCATCACCCTGGGAGGAGATATTTAGCCTCTAAACTACAGTAGAGGCTGTTATATTTATTTCTTATCCCCCAGGGACTAGCACAATGTAGCTCCTGAATATCTACTTGTGGACTGATGGCTCAGACCCTGTATCTGGGAACATTCTGTTCTTACCCAGAACCAGCAAAATTGGAGTCTCTGCACCCTGGGAAGGCTCCAGCTTCCGGCAGTGCTCATCCCTTCCCAGGGCTGGGGAGAGGGAGCAGGACCCAAGAGAAGGTCTCTGCCTCAGAGCTTAGACCACACCCTGGGGAAGGAAGCTAAGCACTCAGACTCTGCAGCTATTTGTCTGAAGTGAATGCACAGTGAGTGAGCTGAGTCTCTATGCTATGCGCAGGACTGAGTCACTATATCCAACATTCTAAAAACTCTTATTTCAGCAGAGTTAGAGTTGTCCCTAAGTTGGTTAGTTTGGCCAACAGAGACAGATTCCTCCAAATCAGCACAACCCCACTCTGCCCAACTTGGGGCTGGATTTCTCTTGATAGTCAAACCTGTGTAGTGACCAAATCCCCACTTTGGGGATGTCCCGTTCAGCCTCACACATTTCTCTTCCCGACACGGGTGGGAAGGTCTTTTGCATCCCTTTCTCTTATTATTTGCTCCGGAGTCTTTTCCCAAAATGGCAGGCAGTTGCTTAGGAGAATTGCTGAGAAGTTCCCCTCAGAGTTGCCTTCATTTGCAGTTCAGAGGCAGCAGTATTAGTCTGACTTTTACAGGTGAAGAAAATGAGGTGTTGCAATTCAAAGTCCTTCTGCCAAACCCCAGAAGTTGGTTGCTTTGGCCAACAGAGACGGGGCCGCTCGGGAAGGGCCTACTGTAGCATCTTTGAAGCCGCAGTGTCTGCTGGATGCCCAGCCCTGGTCTCCGACCTGGAGATGCTGCCTGTGTGAGGATGGTTAATTACAGTCTCTGCTGCTGGGAGTGCTAATGGATCTCTTCTCAAATTATCGAAAGCCTTTAGAACAAGCTCGGGAAAGGCAGATTCCAGCAAATGGTGTTAATTGCTGGACCTGGGGGTGGGGAGGCCCACGTGGTGCCTCAGGCTCCGGGCCTGACTTGTGCCAGGGTTGCTACCGGGATGAGCCGCTGGGCAGATGTTCTGCACAGTAAATTGCTGAGTCTGGCCCCATGGCTGGCCACTGGAAAGGAATACCATTTGAGAACTGGATTTGGCAACGGTGAGCTCCCCGTGGACCAACCTACGACATTTTGCAAACCGCACTATGCAAACGGGGTACATAAATGAGCCCCAGTTTGGGAGAACAATCATTAGAGCCTGATGGTCTGAGACCTGAATATTTGAGGGAACTACAGGGACACCCCACTGTAAAGACAAGGCTCCCCCACGCCTCGACTTCTCTTGACCTAAGAAAACCAGCTTCTTGGTGCCCCATTGCACTGTGGCTCCCTTTCTCATCTGTTTTAGGGAAGCCAGATTCACCCTTTCTCCCCTTTCCAGAGGGCCGGCCTCACTCAGCCCCTCCCCCGCATGCAGCGGAGTTCGAAAGGCAGACGCAGGCTTGCAGCTTGTGTGGCCTGCAGCAAGTGTGGACTGCGATAGTGCTTAAGAGAAATATCTAAATTGGATAAAAACCGGGGGGGGGGTCTCCCAAAAGAACCAGATGAGCCGGCCTGCGAGTGAGGTGAGGAGGCCTCGGAGAGCAATAGGTTGGACTCAAAACACTTGCTTTGACTTACTCAAAAGTGTTTCATCGCAAAGATGTTTCTCGGGAAGTCGCCAGCCCCTTAACCGCAACAGCGTAAGGGCCTGGAGAACCTTGGGGAGGAGAACACAGGCGACCGGTTAAGGGAGGTCACACGAGCCCTCCCAGGTCAGCCTCGTAATTTGCTCCTGCGCGCCCCGAGGCCTCTGCACCGTCATCTGCCTACGGTGGGCGCCCCTCGCCCGCGGGCCCCCAGCTGGGGAAGACGCCCGCACAAGTCTCAGGGAAGCGACGAGGTGCCAGGAGGGACGGCCGCGCAGGAGAGCCTCGACGGGGCGGGCGGGCGGGTGGGCGACTAGGGGTGCGTCGGGGGCTGAGAGCTGCCTGCTCTGGGGACACTTTAATGGGAGGTGGTGGCAGTCTGGTTGGAAAGGGGGGGCCGGGGCTGCTCGCCGAGCCGTTCCTCCTTGGGCTGGGTGTGACGGGGAGAACTCCGGGCGCTGCCATCCGGGCTCGGCCGCCCTCTCCACCCCCACCCCCACCCCCACTCCCGCCCACTGGGGGGGGTGCCGAGAGCTTCTTGCTTGAGCAGCCGCGGGCGGATCGCGCCCTGCACCCCAGGTCCCCAG